ATCCTGAGATCTTGTACCTCAGATTGTAGAATCTTTGTCAGTGTCAGCCATGTGGATGAGTCACGGCCATTGCGTGGCCAATGTGCTCTCTGTGAAAACCTGAGAGAATGTTTTCTCTCCATCCTGTTCTTAAAGTGAAGTTAAATGCCACAGAGGGTGTGTGCCACCGGTCTCCCAAAGTAACCAACTGTGGTTTAACATAAAACTGTTGGGTAAAAGATGTGTGGAGGGGCTGGTGGGATGGCTCAGTGGTCTAAAGCACCTACTTAGAACAAGCTTAGCAAAGCACAGGGACCGCGGTTCAATTCCCCCAGCACCACATGCCAGCCAGCCCAGCCCCCTGGTGGGCTGAGCTGCCCCCCCCCACAAATAAATAAATTAAAAAAAAAAAAAGATGTGTGGACTTTGATTAACACTTCCTTAGGTTTGGTGTTGGGTTTGGTTCTGAACATGGTGAGCAAATTCTAGAAATTAACATTGAGGCTAAAATACAAGTGAGAACGGCGGTCCCTGGGTGCAAGGTGTGGGCGCATTCTGGAACTTCTTCATCCCCTAGACTAGAAGGGATGGCGACAAAACGACTCTCAAGGATTACTATTTTCATAACCAGGGTGGACTGGCTGCAGAAATGGCCGGGCACAAACTTGGGCCCGGGACTTCACTTTATTGGGCCCCGCCGTGCGCCCACTGCACGGATTCCAGCAGCAGATTCCTTCAGGGACTTGCAAAGTGGAGGGAGAAGACTAAAATTTATTTCAGTGCGGTAAATGACCTATTAGGAAAGGCTGAGTGATACAGTCGGAAACAAACCGCACAGCTTTAGGGCTTCCAAGGCTAACGCAGAGAAAGGACCTCAGGTTTGAACGGAAATTACGGGAGACCCCAGCGCCGAGGACAGCAAGGTGGCCTTCCCATGGACCCCTCAGGTCAGACGCACTTTCCACTCAACCCTTACCGCCATTCTCGCTCCCGACGCCCACCTGCCGAACGAGATGCCACAAGCCCAGCGCCCCTCAGCGCCCCTCAGCGCCCCTCAGCGCCCCTCAGCGCCCCTCAGCGCCCCTCAGCGCCCCTCAGCGCCCCTCAGCGCCCCTCAGCGCCCCTCAGCGCCCCTCAGCGCCCCTCAGCGCCCCTCAGCGCCCCTCAGCGCCCCGGCGGGTGGGCGGGGCCCCGCTCGCCCCGCCCCGTGATTCGTGCGCTTGCGCAGAGGAGGTCGAAGGTCAGAGGTCGTGAAGGCGTAATGGCGGCGCTGTGTCGCACTAGTGCCGTGGCGGTGCACAGCCGTTGTCTGCGAGTGTTTCTCTTCTCAAGGCGCTGTCGAAGCGCGGGCACTGAGAGTGGCCTCGAGAGCGGGGATTCTGACTCCTCAGAGCCAAAGACGCGCCCAGGGGGGTTCGCGAGCGCGTTGGAGCGGTTCTCGGAGCTGCAGCGGAAGGCGGAGCTCGGGCGGGTGAGAGGACGCAGGGGCGGGGCGACGGCGGAGGCGCGGCGGCGGGCTGGGGCCGGGCGGAGCCTGGCCTGGGAACCGGACCCGAGCGTGCGGTCCTGGGTCTCCCGGGCGGGAGGGGCGGAGGTGCCCGTGTCGTGTCTTCGCCGCTGGCTCCTGACACCCGAACCTGTGGTTGGAATTTTTTCTTCGTTCATTGTACTCTTAAGTGACATTCACGTGCCGCACCTCCGATCCCCACACGCTTTAATTTAGCTCTTTCTGAGGCGAGTACTGGCCTTTGGGAGTAGGATACTGCAGCGGGGGTTGTCAGCGAGGCAGGCTCTGCGTCTTGCACACCTGCGGCTTGTACATTGAACAGTTCCAGCATAGAGCTTGCTGTCCGGTGTACAAGACTTTTCATAAACATTTGTTATTCAGATACGTACATAGGTGGATGGTAGATTTACTGTTTCTGAATTTGAGTTTATTAATCTTTTGGGCCTGCCGTTTGCTTTTTTCTTTAATTCTATTTCAGCCAGTACTTAAGAGAAATTACTAGGTAAATGAAATAGAGAAAATAGGTGTAAGTACAAGTCTCAGTGTTTTTATTACTAGGTTCAGCCGAGATGAAATTGGATTATGTAGAACACACTTTTGTATTTGTCTCATTGGGGAATGGTGCCAAACAGTTCACGGACAAGTAGTGTAAGGGAGTGTATGACCATTTCAGTAATTATTGTCAAAAGTTTCTAAAATGTAAGCCTCATGTTTTTTTTTTTTTATTTTCTGCGTGATGAACTATTACACATTTGACATAACAGTAAATAATTAGTCTGTTGGCAAATGCACTCTTTTGGCAAATGCAGAGCCAGCAGTAGCAGATAGAGTCCTTTGAAATGGCATTATGTCTTTCATGCCTCCCTTTTCTACTTTTGAGCTTCTTTATGATTCTATAGGGTGTACCCAGATAATCCAAGACAGTCTTACCTCATCATCAGTTCCCTTTGCAGTGGAAATTGGTCACAAATTATAGAGATTAGAATTGAACACATTTTGGGACACTTTATTGTATCTACTTGGATAGGTTAAAAATCACAAGAGGGGTTGGGGAGATAGCTCAGTAGTCTAAGCGCCTGCCTGGCAAGCACAAGGACCTGGGTTCAATCCCTGGTACCATATGCTCTGTCAGGTGCACTGTGCTGGCCATCTAAACCACACATAGTGGCACACACTTGTAATCCCAGCACTAGGGAAGCTGAGATAGGAGTATCATTGCAAGTCTGAACTCCATAGAAAGACCTTTTATCAAAAAGAATAAAAATATCACGAGAATAGCTATGACTGATCTGAAGTCATTGAAGGGATGAAGTTCAGATTCATCTCTGTCATAGTCTTAAGGATTAAGTGTGATAAGGTAAGAAATGTAAGTATAATTCAGTGGTCTTCTTTGGAATATTTGAATGGGAAAGGAGTTTTCCTATTTCTTACCTTCTAATGTTTTTCAGTCATCCTGCAATGGCAAACAGACACACCAAAAGGACATCCAGGGTCCTTTTTAGGAAGAGATGTAATGTAGGCCTGTCTGTTCTGTAGCATTACTCTGGCAAGGTAGTGAAGGAGTTAATTGGACTTAAGAGAGTGTCCAATGTGCCTTGGTTGCATCAAATCGTGGTCAAATGTTTGATTGATTGTTTTATTTTTTGGGGGCAATCATCCATAGAATTTAAGGTTGAAACCATAGCTTGCAGTGGGTGGGAAAACAAGGACTAAGGTAAGTAGCCAGAAAAGATACAAACATCAAGGAGAATAGGTATGGAGTGATCCTGTGATCTGTGTCAGGCTTTAGCTGTGCTTGGACTGCTCAGAATCCTGAGTGACCAGAGTAGGGCTTTGAGCATGCCATCTCTTCAGAGTGAGCTGTGTGGTCCAGGTAAATTTTTCAGCAGATCTAAGGTTGAATTTCTGAAACTAGTGGTGATAGTTAATACATTACCTCGTTATATGTGTGTGAGTTACAAGCTGTTGTTTTTTCTTTTTCTTTTTCTAGAGCTTTGTGACCTGTATGTTTCATGTAGTTCTTACTTAATCTGTTTTAAGTTATCTGTTACAAATGCAGGCCCATTGTTGTCAGTGATCAAGGGTAGGTCATATCTAGGAGTGATTTTTTTTTTTTTTTTTTTTTTCAGCAGGATCCTACAAACTTATCTTCTCAGCATAGGTAGGGAATAAGAGATCAGAGCCAGTGATACAGATGCTGAAGCCTGAGCTGGCTGTCGGGGAACAGTTGCCAGCTCTGTGGCTTGGGCTTGCAGAACATATAGTAGGGACAGGTCTTGTGGCTGGAGTTGATGTTTCCATCAATTGGATCCCCAGAGGGGCCTTAGAAGCACAGGTTTGGCATCATTGGTGGCAGGTTTCCAAACAGCAGCAGGAAATAGTATGCTGTGAAGATCAGTCCTGCAGAAGAATTTTGGCCAAAATAGTTTTGTCCAGTGTACGTTGGATGCACATCAAATTGTGGTCAAATGTTTGATTGATTGTTTTATTTTCTTGGGGCAATCATCCATAGAATTTAAGGTAAAAACCTTTGTTCAAGGTGACTACAGCATGTCTTGCTTGTCAGACTTCATTCCTAACAGAGCTATTTCCATCCATAAACAGAGTGTACTCAGCATATGTGAGGAGGTCCATTTTTTAAGAACAGTTCATCCTAGTACAGCATGTAGCACCTGGATAGTTAGGTCTCGGCCCAAGGTGAGCTTGTCAGTTTTCTTGATCAGGACAGTGACTTCTCAGTGTGAAGCAGGGGAGGCAGCCCATAGCAGTTGGGTTCACATGTTTGCACAGGTAGGCCGCTTGGCGCTCCCAGGGGCCGACACTCTGAGTAAGTGTCATTGTTTTTGTGAACTCAAGGAATCAGATTCTATGTTTGTGTAACCAGTTTCTGTCAGATATTATAGCAGAACTTTTGTGAAAAGGAAAGCAGGCAGCTTGAGTGTCATTAATCAGAACAGTTTTTAAAAAAGGAGACAAGTTTTTGAACCTCTGGGAGGTTGAGTCCAGGTCAGTTGGCTTTTGAGTCTGGAACTGGGCTCTTTTCATTTAAAGGTAAGGAGGGGCTGGCTTACAGAAGCCAATCAAAGGCAGAAGGAGGCAGCATGTTTTTAGGTCCAGGCAGGTGTACCAGTAGGCTGTGGGTGGCAGAAGACTGAGGCACTCTGTACAGAGTACAATTGCAGAATCATTGACAGCTCAGAGATCCTGAAATAGACAAGAGAAGTATATTTTAGCAGTTTGACAGTCTATGTGTAGTTGAAATTGTGGCTGAATCTCTTGTGGTCTAGGAACTGTTTGATGTAGGTGGGGGTTACACCAGGATGGAGTTTCACAAGCAGAGGCAGGTAGTTGATGGCCTAACTTCAGGGCCTAGGGACAGTAACAGAACTGTGGAGCTGGAAGGGACAGAGAAACAGGCTGTCTCAGAGTGGCCAAATCTGTTGTCAGTGCGTTGCTGAAGATAGTGGGAGGGTTCCCAAACATTTATGGCAATTTAGTAACAGACCAGAAAGGGTACATGGGTTGGGAAATGCAGAATGTCAGATAACGGCTCTGTTGTTGACAGCATGGAGATCTTGCCCGAGGTGATTAACAGTCTGTCAGGCTGTTGTGTGGCTGGATAGTCATTTGTGTTTCCTGTGACAACTGATAGCAGTGGGGTTCTTGGTGATGTAGTCTAGTTAATTGATGGGCAGGTCCAGAGGTGAAGCTATAGTTTATATATCTTGGAATACACTTTTTCAGAACTTCAGGATTACGATTATCTTAGGCCAATGCAGGTGTCATCTTCCTCTTGGGGAACAGTCAAAGTTCAAAGTGCAGGGTTAAATGAGAGAAAGCCTGACTGGCTTAGAATTTATGTTTGGTGAGCTGTCCTTCTAGGCTACAAGTTTTTGCCTGCCAGAAGGGGTGAGAGGAGAGGGTCCCAGTTGCCCTGGTGATTGTATTATGGGATCTTAGTGGCCTAGCTGAAGATAGGAGTTTGGTCTGGCATAGTCTGAACCTGCCAGACCCATGAAAGGGCTGTCATCTGATCCAAGTTGAAGCTTTTGAGAGTTACCTTTTTGTTTACTCAATTTTTTAGTGTCTGTGGTCCTTATAACTGATGGCCAGAGGGTATAGTCATGTCAGACTGGATTTTCTTAAATCAGATGCCCTTTTATCAGGTTTCTGGGTAATAGTAGTTAATGGGCTTCTCCCCTCCCTCCCATTTTTTTTTTCTTTTTTTATGAATTTAGGACAAGCTCTACAGGGCGTACAAGGTCTCACTATGTAGATTGGACTTGTTGTGATTCTCCTGTTTTCAGCCTCCCAAGTGCTGGGATTATAGATATGCTCCACCATGCCCAGTCTCAATTACTGTCTCAGTGCACCCCAGAGCTGGCACAGCATGCCAGGGATCGAACCCCAGCCTGTGCTCTGGGGTTCTGGGTTCTGGGTTTACTCTGCTGAGCTATCTGGCTGGCCCATTGCTCCCTTTTTGATGTCTTTGAGAAACATTTCACTGAGTTGTTTGTAGGCAGGGCAACCTTTGAAAAGTCCATGACAACTCATTTGTCAGGGGTGACAGTCCAGTTTTCTTCAGTCAAAAGTGAAACTGCAGAAATTGCTGGCAGTCATCTCAAGTGGGCGCTAGATTACTGTCTGATGAAGACAGGCATATATACAGAAGGCCCTGCAAGGAGGACTTCTGTGACCAAATGCAGGCAGAGGCTAGCTAGAACCAGTTCAGTTGGATGGAGATAAATGAGTTGGGAACAGTGAGTGTTGGCAGCAACTATGGCTGTTGACAAGGGTGCTAAGGTGGAATTCTTAAGAAGAGTGGGCCTCTTTTTTTGTTTTTGTTTTTGAGATGGAAGGAGTGGTTTGGTTTTATTTTTAGCTTATAAAAACACTTTTTCCTGCAATCAGGAACTGTAGGAGATCTAATTAATTAACTAATTAGGTCTCATTTCTGATTTCCT